TATTCTATCGGGTATCCCCATTCTTGCGGCAGACATCAAACATGGGCGCGGCCTGCTCAGGATCCACTGGGGTTTCAAAATCTTCCTCCTCTCTGTGAAGCATCAGCAGTGCAAAAGTGCTGCCAATCACCTTACATGGCCCAGAGCAGTGCCCCCCCTGCTTGGTCTCTGTTGCAGATTCCTACAATGGATTTGTGCGACCCCCTCTAAAATGGGATTCCCTGGCCTCCACACATGGGGTACCCCCACTAGGTCACTAGGTGCTTCCCATCATTTTCCCATCATTTTCCCATCTTTTCCATGGCCATCGTGGCTTGAAGTCGACTACGAGGCGCCATCAGCACCCCTGTCACGAACATCACAATGTGGTGGATTCCTCTGAGGTCGTTCAACTCACCAAAGGCCAGTTGGGCCTGGCACCATGGCGTCTATGGCTGGGCTGGCTTGAAGGGATATGATGGGATATTAGGCCTGTTTCCTTGGGAAAAAAATGGGTGTTTTAAAGTTTTGCCCTACCATTGGCTTTCCTCCCAAACTCATCTGCTTGGTTATGTTATCCAAGTGCCCACACCTGGATGAGGCTAAAGAGAAGGCCCAGCGCAAAAAAGATGGGAACGACAATGACGACGTCTCCTCAGTCGTCGGAATGATGGGATGATGGGATAATGGGATGATTGGATCATCCCGATTTCATGACGAGTCTCCATGTCTCAGGCCCTGATTCATGCTGCTGATCTGAATGACAACAATACCTCAGCCGTTGATGCCGGCAGCCATAGGCAACCTGTTGCATCAACCCTCAGAAGGTCCCAACAAGTTTCAGGATCTATGTTAGGATCAATTCGAGTACAAATTGGAGCCGCAAAAGTTATCATTCTTAGGATGAAATCATCCATTTTGGGGGATCGTTCTTAGATATTCTTAGTATGAAACCATCCTTTTTAATTGGGGTGGCAATAAGAGATTGAACCCAACCCTTCTGCAAAGGACCCAAAGCAACCACGGCCAGCGCATACAGCTCCGCATTCAGCCACCATCCTCACAGGCTGAGGTGACCCCGACAGGTTCCAAAACAAGATCTGGGAGCTGGGACCCTGAGATCTTTCTGATCTTCGACCTATCCAACCATCGAATTGCTTGGCTTGTTTTTTTTCCAGCGCCTTTTCCAAAAACCCGTTGTTCAATGTTTTTTAAAAGGGTTTAGCAGCGAATTCCTCCCCAAGACTTCCAACTCCAATGGTCCAAGGGGCTGGTGGTGGAGCTAACGACCTCCGCTCCACACTTGAAGAAGGTCATGGAGTAACTGCCCGTGGCAGCACAGGTGAGCCCCAAAAAGATGATCTTCATCGGATGGGGCCGAAACCTGGCGCCCGCGGATTTTGGGATTTTTTGGGGGGCTGCAGCTCTGCAGCTCATCTCATGCTATGATCCCAGAGAACTCATGGTCCCAATGGTTTCTGGGGAGATGTTTCGATGTTTCATAGGGGGAACTGAATAGACATAGAATAGACATATATAGTGAACCGGGTGTCTCTTATTTCTCTTGAAAATCCAAAGCCACGTGGATTTGGATACCGTGCCGAGCAACTTCGATAGGACCCTCAAACAGATCAATGCCACTACCACACCCCCAGCAGTGATGAGAAAGGAGGGCTTCAGAATCGAGTGGAAGATCTGATTGGCATAGACCTGAAAACACCAACACAAACTACGGTGGGATGGGATGGGGATCCAGCTCGGGTAGACAAATGATATCTTCAGAGAAAAGCAAGAGATCCCGCGGAAAAAATCACATTCCTAAAGGAAGCATGGATGAATGGTTTTCAAGTAGGCTAATCCAATCTGATTCACGTATTTCGTCCCAAAGCACTGTTAGTCAATGGCGCCTACAGCGCCAGCGGAGACCTCTGTGGAGTTGAAAACTATTTAAATATTGATAGAAACCACTAATATGGTAAACCCAATACTAAACCATCCCGAAAATCCCCATGTGGGTGGAATAAACCATCCCCAAATGGTTTATTGGGTTTACCCCATCATCAATATCGCCCTCGTCGCCCGCGGCCTTCTTTTCATTGGAAACCGGGGTCACGCTGACCACCAGAACAGTTCCCACCACCATGGTGCACATCACCAGGACTTCTTTCCACTTCACCGTTTCGCCCAGCAAGAGGTGCGCATAGACCGAGTTGAAGACCTACGGTCCAGCTATGAGATGACCATGGCACTGGAAATTCTCAAAAATCAGCAATGAAATTGGAAAATCCTGGAACATCATCTAGACATGTGAAATTCTCCAGCAAACCATGTTTGCTAATCAGAGGGTACATGTTCATCTAAATACTTATCCCAAATCACCCATGGTGGAATTTGGTGGTGTATCCTGTTCTTGCCAAGGTGACCAGTGCAAGGCCACCCAAACAGCTGAGCATGGTCTGCGGAGCAAAGGCCATAGCCGGAATGTTGGCAGCTTGCCCAACCAGGAAACAGCTCATGCCCGCTATCCACCAGGGCTGTCTAAAGTAGTTGGCCCATTTCCTTGTGAGGTCGGTGATGCTGCTTGGTGTTTTTTTTTCCGGCTGAAACCCCTAAATAGCCATTTCAAAATCGGACAGATGATGATAAGCCATGGGATTTGGGGGGTACTCTGTTTTCAGTTGAACCCAAATTATTGAGGACAGTAAGTGTGTGCCGCCCTTTGTACATTGGTGGAAGAGAGCGAAAGGGAATCTCGCGATCAAGTGGTAACTTTGGGCACAAGACCTTTTGGCCTCGAAACTGTATCTATCGTGCATGCAAACCAAAACTGCAACAAACTTCGCTTGCTATGAATTGACCAGTATTTCTATGCTTTTATAATGTTGACCCACCAAAAACGCCTTAGGTTCCCTCTTCCAAAACTCTTTGGACCCCTCTCACACATTCGTCCAAAAGGTCGGCTCCACCGGACTGGGACCCATGCCAAAAGAAAACCAAAGAAAACCATCAACCCGTTGGAACCATCCTTAAAAAGTTGCAAACAGTTTTCGCTTTCCAGGTTTCTTCCCGCTCTTCTCATTTTGGAGGTGCACCATTTTTTGCGTCACCAAACCCAGAGCGGTCAGGCAATTTGACAAGACCTTAAGCGATGGATGGCTGGAACATCTGAGAAACGGCCTGGTAAGCCGCTCATTTTTTGGTTGAGACTCAGTAGCGGCCGGAAAATCACAGGAAGTGATGCAATGGTTTGCCCCTTGAGATGACACCACTGCAGCATCTGCGGAGTCAATAAAAACAGCTGAAGGTCAGGCCAGGTGACACATAGAAAAACACCCCACAACCAAGTGGGAATGTGAGTCACCTGCATTGCGCCTGTCATACGAATTTCAACCAAGCGCTTCCACCAGTTCGGTCTCGGATGGGTGGGCCACCCCTGCAGCAGGTCCCCGACTGCGCAACGGGTGGTGCCCGCATCTGAGCCCAAAAAAAGCAACGGAGGACCCACGTCATCAATGGTTAAATGATCCCTGAAGCTCACAAAGTGCTGAGTTGAGTGGGATGTAGTCCCAAGAATCTCCCAGTCAATGGATTTGTGTAAAGGAAAATCTGCAGAAAACATCGTTGCTACACCCAAATATCAGGTTTTCCTGTAGATTCTTCCTTATGCAATTCTAGAATTTCAGTCACTGCCATTGCGAACTTTCTGGAGGATCACAATTCTGTTCAATGTTTTCCTCTGTTTTTGCTTACTTTCTCTTTTGTCTTGGTCAAAATCCTTTTTTTTTTGCACCTCTGAACGGAAGTAGCGCTCCCTTTCTTCCTTCCGAGCCTCCTGAGGGTCGATCTGCCGAACTGTGGATCTGTGGGTTTTTCTGGAGCGGAAGCTGAACTATAGAAGTCGTATTTGGGGGGAGATTATCTGAACTCAGTCATATTTTGGGGGAGATTATCCCATTTTTTCCCAATTAAAGTTGGGATTTTCCTCTGCCATGTCATATCACCAAAGGGTAGGCCATATTTTGGTGAGTTTGGTGGGGATGACTTATCTATGATGCATCAAATTATCTATTTAGCACCTTTTTGGTGGTTTGGTCGTTTCAGAGACCGATTGAGTGTACCTTTGTGAGGGTACCCCTTCAGTTTTTTCCTCGTATACCCAATATATAGTGGTCATACGTTTTTATCACATCATCATAACAACCACGTTGATCCCAGGCCTACAGAATGGCTACCATCCACCATGAAACCACTGGTTGATCATCATTTTCCGGCCTCAAAATGACCATACTTCGCTGCTGTTTCGACAAACCCATGACATGTGCATATATATATATAATGTTGTAAAATCGATATCATATTATGTTTATATGTATATACATAGCCCTTACATTCCTATTGTAGTTGGCATTTTTTTAAGTACCCCCATCGGTGAAACACCCCGTGTAAATATCCGTTGGTTAATCCCATAGTTTATCATCATGTACAACATACAGAAAATAGCATTAGAATTGCCAGTAAATCCCAAATTCTTGGGACAATTGATTCAATCAATATCAAATTGTTGGTTAAACATCCCATGGTATTCCCATAAAACATCCATGTCCAAGCTCCAAATGGTCAAAGTTTGAAGGAAAAAAAACTCTGTTTGTTGCTTAAATTTCGTTCACCGTCCCAATTTTTGTTGGTTTTCCATGATGTGCCCATTTTTTGTTTCGTCTTATGCCCAAAAATCCTGATTAGTCATCATTTTCCCTATGAAAAATAACTAAATTTGATGATGTTCCCTATACCAAATGCCACGTTTCGTGATAATTCCTATTGAAATTGCCATATTTGGTGTTTGTTTTTTTTCCACAAGTCATATTTGCCGATTTTCCCTATGAAAACATGGCCGTTATTTGTTGGTTCAGCCGGTCCTTAACCGCCTCCGGAGCCAGATCATCTCCCTCCAGCGCCACCAGGCGCTCGGCGGTGAGCTCGCCGCTCAAGACCTGGAAGGACATGGGAATGTATTGTATTCGATTAAAAAAGATTGGAATTGATGTCTATATATATATGTATACATAAATATATATATATGTGTGTGTATATATACAGATATGTATTTACACATTATGTAAAAATACATATATTTTTAATCATAACCCATAGCTATATATATATACAAATACATACACATACACATATATATCCATATACAAATATATATATATATACATAATATATATATATTGTAATATATATATATATTATTATATATATATATTATATTATATCTATAAATATTATATTATATATATATAAATATTATATTATATATAAGTGCAGATATATAATATACACATTATAAAAAGATATATTAGATATATAGTCTTTATATATATATGGATTTTTATATGTATACACATGTTGTATATACATTAAATTATATATACATTTTTTTGAAATATATATTTATATATACATACATACATAATATAGATACGTTATATATATTTTATATTTACACTATATATATATTACACATACACACACACATACATCCATCCATCCATCCATGCATGTATGTATGCATGCATACATACACACATACACACAGACATACATGCATGCATGCATACATACATACACACACAAACATACATACATACATACATACATACATTACATTACATTACATTACATTCCATTCCATTCCATTCCATTCTGTTCCATTCCATTCCATGACATTACATTACATTACATACATTACATACATTACATACATTGCATACATTACATACATACATACATACATACGTACATACATACATACATTCATACATTCATTCATACATTACATTACCTTACCTTACCTTTCATTACATTACATTAATACATACATTACATACATTACATACATTACATACATTACATACATTATAAATATATATTGTGATAATGCTGGGTAACATGCCATTTGTTTCATTGCCCATGTTTGAGACTCAAGTCCCCACCTGTCGAAGGAGTTGTCCATCGCTGGAACCCAAATTGTGACTCAAACCTCAGGCGTCAGGGGTTTGCCAGCATCGTGGATAGAACAAACAACTTAGCAGATATACGTGTAACGATGTGTATATGTGTATTGTGTATATATGTGTGTATTATGTATATAGCGTGTATATAAATACTGTTTTATATGTATATCTTATGTATGTAGGATGTAAATATTATGTTTATCTATGTATCCTGTATGTATGCTTACTATATTTTCGTTATTGTACATGCATAGATTATATACACATATGTTGTATATGTACGATCATATGGATAAATTAGAGATTGGAGCCCACCCCTGACGTCCCAGCAGCTGCGTGCTCTTCGGCGATACCTGGTGCGGAACAGGGTTTGCTTTCCCGGTGTCATCAAACATCGGTGGGCTAGAAAACCTTCTTACAAACTGGAGGTTTTCCTAAGAAAAATCATCTATACATGGGGACAGTTTCAAGTGCCATGTTTGATTACCACTAGGTATACGGTTTGATCATGCTTGATCTCGTTCTATCTTGCCAACTTGGAAGAAACACTTGGAGACTTCACCTTCCCAAAATAGAAAATACTATTCAAACGTAATTTTGGTTTCTAAGTGTTTTGCCCAGATACTCTTTGGGATCTTTGCCACACCTTTCAAAGAGCGCTCGCTCAATCTTGCTACCTGCGCTGAGTGGGGTGTTTGACATGATCTCCCACGGAGCCCCCGGTATTATGACCTGATATATCTATATGCTCACCCTCCCAGAATCCCCCGCATGTTGAGCAAACAACTGTTTTACCAGCTCTTGGTCTCTGCATAGCACAACTGATGTGTTTGCAGAAAGCAATGCTAGTGATCTAAACTGATATTGATATGCTTGCCACGAAAAAATCGCAAAAAAAAACTATTTTTCCACATGTTTTATGTACAGTAGATACGTCTGTCTTTATTGTTTGTTACTACATTTTCCAGATGGAACTTTTCTATTGACTTTCTGGTGCTCTTGGCACATATAGGAGGTTGGTGGGGTTGAGGCGGGGCCTTAGATGCAGCATTGAGATGCTAAGTCAAAGGAGACGAACAAACCAGATCAGACAATAGACTTAGCAGACCAGTGCCCTCAATGAATGCACATGTGACGTTGCAGTGGCAGAGACATTAAGTTTCCAAAAATGCAAAAGATGGGAAACACACTTGAATTAGTTCAGTTGCATCAGTCATGTTGGAAGCAAGTCACGTTGGCAGCAATGCAGAAACTTCTTTTTTAGCTTCTGCCATGATCTGTGAGATGTGCTCCTAGCTATGCATGTCTCTCAGCATAGATGCGGTACGGAACCATGCGTTCTGCTTTCCATACCAATAGGCAAACTGCGCAGCTCTAATCTTCCGAGTCAACATGGTAGACCCAACCTTTCTCGGGGCATGCTTCAGATAGGCCCTGAGATGGCCCCAAAAGCGATCAATAATCTGAGTGCCGACTTTCACTATGAATTTCTTACCATCGGGTAGTGTGTGTGTGTGTGTCCACATCTTTGTGTACCGAAGCTTGATCCACGTAGTCTTGCCTCCAATGACAACCTTCTTCTTCTTGTGGATGAAAACGTTGTCATGCAAGATGCCCGGCACTGACATCTTGTAGGTTCTCGCTCCATCGGTGTGCAAGATAACTTTCCGATTCTTCAAGAACTTCGAGGCCACAGGCTTCCAATCGCGTCTGCGAATAGGCCCTGGGCCAGGCGCTTGCGCAGCAGTAGATTTTGGGCTCAGGCGGAACAAGAGAAGCGTGCCGGGATGCCCACGCTCCACAATGCCTCCCCACTGCTCCCACTTTGCTGCTTTCTTATCCATGGGCACTTCCTTGCCGAGATCTACCTCATCAGCTTCCACATCAGCCCACGCTTGATGAGCACCACATTTGATGTTCTTTTGCTTCTGGCACACATGTTGTGCACGAACACATTCCAAGTTGTGGTAAATGCGTTCATGGGTTTGTGATTTATGTCCAAGATGAAGGGCGTGCAGTGATTGGGACACCGGCAAGAGCACAGCAAAGCATTGCGGCTTGTTTGCCAAGTTCTGTATATAGCTGTTCCCAGAGCCATGGAAGAAAAGAAGATGGAAGTCATGCGGTTGGATGCGTCTCTTGCACTGGCGACGCCCGCGCTTGTGGACCCAAACGCCCTTCTCCTTGAAGTAATGCAAGCGTCCAAGCGTCCCAGTGCCACAGTGAGGACACGTTTGACCAGTCCAAGCTGGCAACATTCCATCCTTGGTCAACTTCCAGATGAGGGGGCAGCGGGCGAGAAGCAATGAGATACTGGACAGAAGTGCCATAGCGCTCCCTTTCTTTCCGGAATGGCTTCTGCACATCTTGGTTGCGTACATAGGGCACAAACTTGAAGGATTTCGCCGCAGCTGGCCTCTTCATGTTGGCTCTTGCCTTGCCTCTTTTGGGCTGAGGCCATGGAGATTGGTTCCGATACTTCATCACAAGCTTCGGCATGCTGTGCCGACAGGCTGGCTCTTCACAGCAAGGTGCTTGAAGTTGAAGATCAATGGCTACAGCAAAGCAAATTTGAAGACGAAATGCGACAGTTTCCATGGAAGCATACAAGCAGTGGTGAAACAGTAAAAGGAAAGGCTGCCAAGATGTGAAAGACAAGCAGTGGTAGAACAGTCAGAGAGTAGCGTTGAAATAAATTGCCAAGATGCTGGTCCAAAGTGCCTTCTGCATTCCCATGGGCCAATCCACATCGCTTGACCTGAGAAGAGATGACAAGCATAGAAATGAAACTATGGTAAATGCATGGAAGCGAGTAGCCAGACTTGTCCTTGAGCATAAGTTGCGCAGAGACTCAGGCGGTGACGATGAATACTACATCGGCTTGGCCGCAGCAATTGCACGAGCAAGCAAGGTCATGGCTCGTACGAGGGCACAGCTTGTGAGGGTATGCTGAAGAAAATGCCATACACCGACCAGTCACTTCAAAATTGCCAACACTGATAGGAAACCAAAAAACTAAAAAAACAAAACTTGAAGGAGAATGTTTGGTTTTGACTCAAAAGATTGTTTTTGTGGTTTTCCCTAGTTTTTTTGGTTTTGTTTGGTTTCAAATGCAAAAAAAAACTTGAGTTTTTTGGTTTTTGCCTTTGCATACATGCCATCAGCCAATATCACGAAAAATAAACAAAAACTCAAGGTTTTGTTTGGTACCATAGCAACAAAAGCACAAAAAATTGAGAGTTTGTGGTTTTTGAGACATTGGCTGATAGAATGTATGCAAAAAAACTCAGTGTTTTTTTGCTTTTGGCTATTGAAACCATATCAAACCATAACAACACAAGCAAAAAGAACAAAAAAAACATTGAGTTTTTTTGGTTTTTTGAGATATTGTTTGATAGTATGTATGCAAAAAAAAAAAGAAACTCTATCTTTTTTGGGGGGGTTGTGGCTTTTGAAACCCAAAAAGAAACAAGGGAAAACCAAACTTGAGGCCGGGGGTGGATGACGAAAGCTAGCGGGGTAGGAGAAAGAAGGAAGGGAAGAGGTGAGTTGCGGAGGGACTGTCATCATCGTGTCGCGGCATTGTTCGTCCCAACGAGGATGCAACAATGATATATTGATATATGATATATAACAATGATATATATGGGGGAGGGGGCAGGGGGGGGCCCTTTCGCGGGAAAAATCACGTGATGTCCTTGGGGAGCCCCGGAATACGTGCTAAAGCAAGAAGACTCTAGCGAGCTGACACTAGCTTTCGTGATAATGACAATAATTGCCAATAATGATAAAATGTAATTGAATAACGATGATGATGATGATGATGAATGATGAATGATGAATGATGAATGATGAATGATGAATGATGAATGATGAATGATGATGATGATGATGATGATGATGATGATGATGATGATGATGATGATGATGACGATGACGATGACGATGACGATGACGACGAGGACGATGACGAGGACGACGACGACGACGACGACGACGACGAGGATGATGATGATGATGAGGACGAGGACGAGGACGATGGAGAGGACGATGACGATGACGATGATGATGACGATGATGATGACGATGATGATGATGATGATGATGGTGGTGATGGTGGTGATGGTGGTGGTGGTGGGGGGGGGCCCTTTCGCGTGAAAAATCACGTGATGTCCTTGAGCAGCCCCCCCAATACTTGCTAAAGCAAGAAGACTCCAGCTAGCTGACGCTAGCTTTCGTGAAAAAACAATCTTTTGAGTCAAAACCAAACATTCTCCTCAAAGTTTTGTTTTTTAGTTTTTTGGTTTCCCAGGCATCCACAAGACTTCTGGCTTTGTTTTTTTTGTTTTTCCAAGTTTTTTGCGGTTTTTGGTGATTCTAGATATCTATATATTGTAAAAGATTTCAGAAGCATTAATGTTTACTTAAGTAAATGTATGTAAGTAACCCTAAAAATCTGAACATAAATAAAGAACACGTGTTTTATATTGTACTGTAAATCAGTACAAACAGCATGTGGGGGGTTCTGGTGGGGGTGACCATATATATATATATACATACATACATACATACGTACGTACGTACATACATACATATATATATATATATATAAATACGTGTATATATATATATATATACGTATTATGTATACTCATCTCGCAACCTTGCAGCTTTTGGGAGTTGCGTAAGTAAAATCAAATCTGGCCATGCAAACAAAGAATTGATTTGCTAAGCAAATGATAGGTGGCAGGCATCAAAGCAGGCTTTGTCAGTCTGTGACACTGTTCGCATCAAAATACCTGGGCGCACGGTGGCATTGCCAAAGAGGATCCAAAAGGGGAAGGTCGTACCGCGGTGCTCTATTTATGTCTTATATAAATAAGGGGGCTAAGGACCCTAACAGCCCCAAGAACCTAAAAGAGCCCCACGGGTTGCTCTGGAATCATTTGTTCATCCTGTTTTTTGCCTGCTCTGGTCGTCCAGTTCTCCCCCGGCTGGGGTGGAGAATACGAAGCCTAGATGCCGACGAACTTGCTTCGCATGCTGTCATCCAGTGCAGTATCACCACGTGGCATCACCACGGGAGGTGCTTCCTCAGGGACAAAAGAACTATCGAAGGAAGGGAAGAAATTACCTTGAATTTCCTGTCATGGATTTGCAGGTTTGTTTATACAAGCTGGCCGGGTTTACCTGCATGGAAGTCCAAGGTACCAAAATATCTAGATGTATCAAATGAAACTCTTTTGGAACGGTTTGTCCAACGCTTTGAAAAAGGAATCCCCATCATCTGTAATCCAAGAATGTCCCAGCCAAACCACCATGTTCTCCTTTGATTTACAGCCCTAATTGAGAACACACAATATCTTTACGTTCACGAGAAAAATCACAGAGCCAATTTGATTTGGGCATCAAATATATTTATATTATTATTTGTGTGTATACATGTGTATATATATATAGATATTACATACATAAGTGTTTCTATCCAATGCATTTATTGAGGTGCTCAACCAAATGCCATGAGAGAACATATGTTCATTCATCTTGATTATAATCCGCCGGCCTGCCGGCATGTCTGATTGGAAGGTGTTGTTCTTGTTTCTGTTCTTGGCTTGTACTTGTTCCTTTGTTCTCTTGCTGCGCCTTTTTGCTTCGTCTGGATCGAGCTCACCCCGCCCCTCTCCCTAGCATTACTAGCCCTAGTACCAGTACCCAGTACCAGCACCAGTAGTAGTAGTAGTACCAGTACTAGTAATACTAGTAATACTAGTAATACTAGTAATACTAGTAGTACTAGTAGCACTAGTAGTACTAGTAGTACTAGTAGTACTAGTAGTACTAGTAGTACTAGTAGTACTAGTAGTACTAGTAGTACTAGTAGTACTAGTAATACTAGTAGTACGTACTAGTAGTACGAGTAGTACTAGTAGTACTTACTAGTAGTACTAGTAGTACTAGTAGTACTAGTAGTACTAGTAGTACTAGTAGTACTAGCTAGTAGTACTAGTAGTACTAGTAGTACTAGTAGTACTAGTAGTACTAGCTAGTAGTACTAGTAGTACTAGCTAGTAGTACTAGTAGTACTAGCTAGTAGTACTAGTAGTACTAGTAGTACTAGTAGTACTAGCTAGTAGTACTAGTAGTACTAGTAGTACTAGTAGTACTAGTAGTACTAGTAGTACTAGCAGTACTAGTAGTACTACTGCTACTGCTACTGCTACTGCTACTGCTACCGCTACTACTGCTATACTCCTACTCCTACTCCTCGTAGGCCTATGCCTACTCCAAGGCCTACTCTGACGCCTCTACTCCTCTACTCCTCCACTCCTCTACTCTTCTACTCCTCTACTGCTCTACTCCTCTACTCCAGTAGCAAATGACACTGCCTACAGCATTACTGTCGTCTACAGGTGCTCGTCACAGGACGCACACGGTACTGATCGACCACTGCTCATTGGGTATGCGTTCCATTGGTTGTTCAAGCAGGCACTTGCTACTCAAGCTGCTTCTGATCTACGGCTCTGTCTTCGTCTCTTCTTCTCTCAGGCTTCCACCTAGCATGCACGTCAACCTTCCTTGGGGCAATCTCTCTCCGCTTCCCCCCTGTCTCCTTCTATGCAGCGGTCTGCTGTCAAGCCAGAGGCTCATACTGGTATACGGTCAATAGGTTGTTACAGCAAACCTTGCTACACAAGCCGATTCCGTTTTACGGCTTTGTCTTCGTCTTCCTTTCTTATTCTTCTTATTCTTGTTCTTCTTCTTCTTCTACTTCTTCTTCTTCTCCTCCTCCTCCTCGTCCTTCTTTTCTCTTCTGCTCTCCACCTAGAATGCACATCAAAATCCCTTGGGGCCACCTCTCTATGGCCGGCAGGCTTGCCGAAGGCAATTAAATAAATGAAGTCATCCAATCTTGATGGACCAAAAATTCTAGGACCCAGCCCCCATGCGGTGGGATGTTGCGATCGGACTGGCCCCTTTAAGATGTATAAACAGATGTGAAAGAAAATAATTCGAATAATAAAATTGTCCCATTTTGAGATTGAAACTCAATGTTTCTTCTGACCGTTTTCCCCTCGGGTGTGGGCCTCAGTTGTTCATCCCTTTCTTTACCCAGGTTTTTTTTTACATGGGTGCGTCTGATGATGAGGTATTTACTTCCAAGTGATGGCCATGAAATAATCGGGAAAATGATGCTCTGAAGCATCAAATTTTGGGGGTGCTGTGTTTGAAGAGGAATGACCAGCCAGTGGATTTGTGTTTTTTGCCATAAATGTTCATGTGCCAGACGCAGGTGCTTTCACCACGTTCCAAGAAGAAGTGGAGGGGGGCCAACAAAAAATGAAGTGTTTTGCACTAGATTTTCGAACAAACCCAAGCATTAAATAATTGACGATTTTTGTGGTTTCTCAAAAAGGGGTGCCAAATAATGGTCACAGATGGGTAAAACATAGATCAATGGTCCCTGGTGAACATGGATGATGATAATCTCCCATGTATTGAATAGTATAACCCGACCTCATGAACCGACCATCATTGTCTCAATTCTATTCCCATATGTTTCATTAAAATAAACTAGTTAAACCAGAAATTAATAGAAATTATGGTTCAACCATGTTCAACCCCAATAAAATAATCAATTACCATGGTTTTTCCCATGGTTTTTCCCATGGTTTTTCCCATGGTTTTTCCCATGGTTTTTCCCACGGTTTTTCGGTCCCAGCATCGATGCTGGGCACGGACACTTTCTGCGTCCGTCGACTCGTTGGCGTGGGTCGCGCTTGGGAGGCCGGGACGGAGGACCTCGTCATGGATCCCAACCAGAAAGACCTTGAGAAAATTCAGAAATACCAAAAAAGCAATTCTTAAACGGTTAAACCTACATTTTTCATCATTTTTCATGGTTAAACCATATTAAACCTCCACTTTAGAAAAAAAAATATAACACCACAACATCACCCAGGCACCACTTCCTGAGCAACGCCACCAGGCGCCCTCCCAGCTGCGCAGAACGCAGCTGCGCACAGGCTGCCAGCACTTCGGGCGCGCGGGCGCCTCCGCGGAAGGTCCTGGAGCCATCATTCAACCGATTGGTTTAAGTGAAAATCTAGAGGAAATTTTCCATTCTAGGTGTTAAAAAAGGTGGTTAAAACTCTATAAAGAGTGGATATCATATCCTCTAGTGTCCTCAAACATGGCTAGCTGGGAAATCCCCCCAAAAAATGGTGTTTCTTTTCGCTGGGTCCCTAGAAATGGGACATTTTCCGCCACATTTGATTACCGGAGGGTAGTGACAATTGATGACTATTGACTAATTGGGATTCTTAGTGGTAATAGTTGGAGTACATAAACATCATCAATAAGTTGAGGAAACTACTGTGAATGGAAGAAATCCACCAGTTGATAGGTAGTAAACATCCCATTCTTTATAGGGTTGGATAACCCAGTGGCTGCAGGATTTCGCAACCATCCGAAGGTTTTCCGAACAGATTTTTCCACCAACTTTGGGATCACTGTGGTTTTAATTATCCTCATTGGGATGTAATGGGAATAATTGGGGTACGGGCTAAACAAACACAGGGGAAAATCATGGGGCTAATGATGGAATACAACCAACCTGAATTATTTTTATCCTGGTAAAGTTGATAATTAATTGGGAGTTTTATTGGGATTAATTATTGATTGGCGTAGTCTTTTTGAATCATCAAGAATGGGGATGTAAATATGAATCGACTGGGATGATAAAATGGATATTCATAAATTGGGAATTTAATTGGGAAAATAATATTGGCGTTTTCAATCTTCAATAATTTGGATGGAAATAGCAATAGCAACAATAATGATGATAGTACGGGAATACGCATAATATTGAATTTGAGAGGTAAAATTAAAAATAGATTGGTTACTTTGTCAGTGGGATTGGTTCCTTGAGATTGACTGGGAAAAATTAGGATTGGATCATGTGATGTAAATATTCTTGGGATCGTTCATTGGGTTTCGTATATATTGGGTAATCTACTTGGGATTGCTTCATTGGGATTAATGAATTGCGATATTTGGTTGGGATGTCAATAACAAGACTTGGATTGAAATATCTGGATTTAAATGTTGGGACAGATTAGGACATTCAATTCTTACACATACAGACAGACGGACAAACATACATACATACATACATACATACCATACCATACCATACCGTACCATACCATTACACTTACATTACATTACATACATACCAATACATACATACCAATACATACATACCAATACATACATACCAATACATACATACCAATACATACCAATACATACCATTACATACCATTACATCCCATTACATGCCATTGCATACCATTACATACCATTACATACCATTACATACCATTACATACTATTGCATACCATTACATTCCATTACATTCCATTACATTACATTACATTAAATTACATTACATACATACATTACATTACATTGCATACATCACATACATACATTACTACATTACATTACATTACATTACATTACAGTACAGTACAGTACATTACATACCATACCATACCATACCAGGCCATACCATACCATACCATACATTGTTACATACATCACATACATACATTTATAATATATATATATATACGTGATCCTGCATTCATCTAAAATCTAAAGTCGCTATACAGGTGTGTCCGAAACTAGGTGCGATACTGATATACCCTCCAAATGGCCACCAAGGTACTGCGAAAGTCTGGCGCGCCCCGCATTTCCAAGGCGAGCATCCAGGGATTCCAAAGCCTCCACGGGGCAAGGCGGGGATACGTTGGGATGGGATAAACCACCAATTCTGGGGTCATGGGTCTGTCTGAAAATGGTGTATACCCATAGAATGGCAGGGGAAATGGTGACTAACTAGCAGGATTTTGGGGGACTCTAGTTTCAGACACCTAATTTTCACCAACCAAAATGTCAAAACAGGTGAACTCTGACGTGGGAGAACTTGTCTCACAACTTTTGAAGCAAACAAGAAAAGGAGTGAACCAGCAACAGCCAGTTGGGGGTGTTGATGGAGCATTCTCCTTTGGGGGTTGGTATCCTGATCAAAGTGCCTGAAGGATTCATGGATCTGAAGTTCAAGCTAAAGTTGAAATCTATATATGCGCCCATCCCCCCTTTTCGGACCCAATATCATGTTGCTGGCCATATGCCCATTCTATCCGCATTATATATATGGTTGATTGAAACCCCCGTTCTCAAGGTATGGTTGGTTCATGTTGTTGTTATCTTCCCGTTTGACAAACCCAAGGATTCATCGTTTCTTCAACATATTAGGTGATTCTTTGGCGGTGACCTCGCCATAGTATCCCCCTTTTTGGTGCTAAAAAAAACCCTGTGAAAAAAATAGTCCCATGACATTCCAGACAAAATAGTATAGATGATTGATGAGTATTTATCTATGGATCACATATACATACATACATACATACATACATACATACATACATACATACATTACATACATTACATACATTACATACATTACATACATTACATACATACATACATACATTACAACACATTACATTACATTACATAACATAACATTACATAACATTACATAACATAACATTACATAACATAACATTACATACATACATACATACATTACATACATTACATACATACATACATACCTACGTACATACATACATACATTACATACATTACATACATTACATACATTACATACATACATTACGTACATACATACATTACATTACATTACATTACATTACATTACATTACATACATACATACATATGGATCCATATCATACATCCCCATCATCCATATTCCTGGTTCTGGTCTTATAACCAAGTTTCACCAATCCGATTAAAAAGTGTTGGTTGTTAAATCCCTACCATTCTCCAAATTCCCACTATATTTCAGATAAATACATACATGTATATATATATATATACACGTGGAGTTTCATCTAAATTGACATCCTATTGTTGGATACAAATTCCTATGGCTTATATCCTGTCTTGATCTTCCAGATATCCTCCCCTTATTTCTATTGTATGTCCATGATTCCAGTTATCCATGACATTCCCAGATAATTAACAAAAATTCGGATAGTAATGAATAACATGTCCTGTAGTAATCATGGGGAAGGGCGTTGAATTTTTACCCAACTTTGATCTTTTGGGTTTCTCTGAAAATCGGCATCCCAATTTTTGATGGTTAATCAACATGTGTCCAAGTCAAATTGTCATCTGTCCTGACTTATCCCCATTTTCAGAGGGACCCTAATCTGGATCATGAATCATATGGATAAAACATATGGATACATATCATAAATCCCCATCCATACTCATGATTTTTGTATAAAAACCCTCTGGTCATTTAACATATCTATGGAAATCGTCTATTTATAAAATTCATAGAGGATAAACCAGATGATTGACCTACATTATAACTCTAGTGACTCTAGTATGTGTGATTTTTCCACTTCGCTTAAATAACCAGAGGGTTTATCACATTATATATAATATATATAATATATATAATATATATATAATATTTATTTTGGTCTTGTGATGTTTTGACGAACATGCTGTTTCAAACTTCAAGCAGAGCACTCTTATTTTGACCGTGGGGTTGGCGATTCGACCAAACGTCTGTCTCGCGACTCGAACGGTGTGGTTAGGCCGTTAGGGTTCAGAGTCCGAGGTGTTGTCCATATCGTCAATGGCTGGAAATGTATTGTACACCCGTAAGTGCTGTTGGAAATTTTGCACGATCGATAACATCAAGACCAGCTTGGTGAACTGAAGCTGGTGTACAGCACTTTCCAGATGAGCCAGACTGTCGATAATGAACAACCGCACGGGTTGGTAAGCACATGGAGTGTCATCTAAAATGGAAAAATGGAAGTCAGTGTGGTTATCTGGTCTTGTAAACGGGATTGCAAACATTCAGCCAGTATCAACGGTGCAAGCAGGTGTTGCAAAGAATGGCCAGGCATGGCAAGGACATGGAAGGATATGAATCGAAAAAGGACACTTGTCCTGTTGCTGGAGCCCAATCACATGATTGGTATACAGGGAGGGAAAGCGAACAGAGTGAGGGGATGGGACGAAAAATTTAGTGAAGTGACAAGCGGGCTCACTCGAGCCACTTGTTGCAACAGATTACACATGTAACATCGTGTGCTCTGACTGTCACCATCATGTTCTTTTGACCCATCCTTCATGGGTCAAATCAAACATCTCTACCAAAATAAAATTTCATCAACGAGTTGAGCTGCATCTTTTTTTGGTCTTGTGATGTTTTGACGAACATGCTGTTTCAAACTTCAAGCAGAGCACTCTTATTTTGACCGTGGGGTTGGCGATTCGACCAAACGTCTGTCTCGCGACTCTCCCCTACATAGGAGACAAGTTTGCGTACTGTTCTGTGGTACAAGCTTTCCACCTCTCAAGCAGGTCAATCTGTTTGATCTGAATCCCTGCATATTCATATATTTTCTTTCTTGACAGTTCGTCGGCTGGGTTAGATTGAGAGGGCACTCGTTCAATCCAAGCCATCACTCCTAGTTCCTCTTCAAGAGAACATATGGATCTGATGATGAGGTTCATTGATCTGGCCGTTGTTTGATTTGCATTTGATCACGCATGATTGTGCGCTCTGGTTGTCAGTGAAGATGACAGCCCGTCTCCCTTTGATGAACTTTCTAAAGGCATGCAGGGCTACCGCAATGGCTAAGCCTTCCAACTCGAAGATCAAAGTTTGCTGATCAGATCTCTTGATCCTTGACACTAACTCTGGGGTGACTTCTTCACTGAAACAGTCAAGGCACTTGCCCGCTGAGTCAAAAACAAGCCCACCAAGGCCTGAGTAACCTGTGGGTTCGTAGGACGCGTCTACGTAGACGTGGGTCCAGTCCAAGAAATTCACATCCACCACGGGCCTCGGTGGGTTCACCGCCAGGAGTTCTGCCAAGAGGGACAACGAGGCCGCAAGCTCGTCAGTAATAGTGCGGAGCCCCCTGGTCACATGACAGTTCAGGTCCTTCAAGCAGTTTCGGAACCTGCGTCCAAACAACTGGTTCGAGGCGAACTGTAGCCTGCCGCGAAGCTTCTCACCTTCTGCACGGGGAAGCTGTTTGCTCGAAAGGATTTCTTTCATGCACGATATGAGCTCTTCTTTTCTCGACTCAGTGTTCGTGACAGTGAGCAATCTGTCCGGACTCTTGGTGAGGTCAACTTCCACTCCCAAGACTTTGCAACACTGGGAGTACGGAAACAGCTTGTCTGAAGAGAGCTTCCACCCAAGGATTTGGAACAACGTGGAGACACGACACATAACTCAGTGTGTCGGTCCAAGTTCTCAGGGGTCAAGCTCAAGAAGTCATCGAAATACGATGTCCAAGTCAGTTTTAGGATGCTGCTGCCGATGTGCCAGATTCCCAATGCACAGCGCAAAAAGGCAGTGACGGAAGCTATCGATCCGAACGGGAGCACTGCTTGTTTGTAAACCTCAGGGCAGCCAGTTGCAGGATTGTAGATGACGATATATGAGTCGGTCTCATAGGCATCATCGGATAGCGGGATTTGTTTGTAGGCTGCGGCAAGATCCCAACACTTTGCGACAAGTTGCAGGCCTTCTCCCTTCCTTTGCGACGCTGACATCAGTGAAGCCCCTAGGCATGCGATGTGATCTATCCCGTGCAGTGTAACCATCTCCACCTGAGTGACTGCTGAGTTCACCATGCTTGCTTTGTAATCGTCAATTGGTCTCACTTTGTCTTTTTGCAGCACCCCGAACCTGCGTGTCAAAGTGGCCCCACTCGGGATCGTCTTGACATCTATTGGCCCTTGAAGGAAACCCATCTCCATCTCCTTCATAGTGGCTCGAAGAACACCCTCGTCCACCTTTGGGTCCCCGGTGCTCCTGATATTGGCCAGCAGGGCTTTGCGAGAGCGGTCAGCTATCCCTCTGAGGGCTTCTGTCGGGAGCGCTGCGGGACGGAACTTCTGGCAGAAGTGATTCGATGCCGGTAGTTTCCCGGTCAAATCGAATCCATTGCATATGTCATCCACAAGGTTGGAGTCTTTGGATCCTGCTTCGCTAAGCAATTCCCTGAAGAGAAGCAAACGTTTGTTCTCAAGGACTCCCCTACGTCTACTGGACATGCGCTGCTTGAGCAGACGCTCTTCGTTCGAAAGCTGTGAGGCCCTGTGGATCATTTTTCGCAAAACTTCAGATCTGTATTGAGCAACTTCTTGATGCGTGTGGTTTTCCATAAACTCTGTCGCATCCTTCATAGGTCCTGGCAACTCGTCTGCACTCAATCCAGGATGTCCCGCAGCTATTGCTTGTTCCACAAACTCTTCTGGCTTTCTGTGGATGCCGATTGTTTTGTACCCTGCCCTCGCGATATCCCCCATGGGTGGAGTGGTCAGGAGTCTGGAATTGGGTGGTACAGGTTGATCGGCAGGGATTTGGGTGATGTTGGCAAATTCACTGACCCACGGTAAACCATTGGCTGCAGTCTGCACATGCGTGTGTTGGCGAATGCTGTCTAATTGACTGGCCTGTTTGGCAAAGGAAGGAGTTGGGCAGACAACGCCATGTTGCTGTAAGTGCAAGGCTACAAGGGCAGCGAGGCGCCTACTTAAAGGCCACGGATAGGCAGTCTCCTGAGCCGTGGCCCAACCTGTACCACTGTGTCCCCACTGCTCATGAGCATGATCATTGGTGCAAAGCAGTTCCATGTCTTGGACCGCTGCAATGTTGTGAACCAAACACGTGTGTTTACGTCTGGCCGACCCGTACATGCAGTGGTGGAAGAACGTGCGGTAATGTGGCACGTCATGCAGGAACTTGGAAAAAGGAGTGGTATCCCACATGAAGCTTCGGGCTGGATTCTCTACGGTATACATGACGCCGGTTGAATGGCACAGGCGACACAATCTCTGCGTTATTTCATACAGTGCATTGGCGGCAGCAACTTTAGCCTCATTGGTTGGGCTAAGGCCTGTGATTCCATTCGGTTTGTCATCTGTGCGGAGAATGGGTGGATTGAAACGGCCCTTTCTTTTGATGAAACGTGCACGGCTAGCAGTACCACATGGAGGGGCAAAATGAACATATACGCAAGCTGCCTCAAGGATCAGCTGTTCAACGAATTTGAGACATTCCGGTTTCAGAAGGTCAAGTTGTAAAACTGGTGCAGCTAAATGATTCGATACTACATGGTCGACCCCAAAAGAGTCACGCAAACCGAGCTGCCGCAAGCAGGCTGTGAGGCGACTGGTGCCTGCAAAAACTTCCATTGCAAAAAGTTCATGGGCTGTCTTGCTGGAGCACTTGGCTGACAACTTTCTTTCAAAGGCTGCAAATGACTCCTCAGCCGTCGCAGGGAGTCATGAATGGCTTTGGAGGCTGTGGGATTTACCACAGCCAGGCTCTGCGCAAACATGCATACCACGGCTGCATTGCCCGCCAGGCGCCGCATCGGAACATCCCGTTGCGAGGTTGTAGGGCCAGCAAATGCGGCGACCGTCGCGCGTCTCCAGCGATTTGCCCACAAGGTCTTTGGGCACATTTGGGCCGCGCCCTCTCTTGTTTTTGAACTTTCCTTTGCCTTTGCCTTTTCTGGTTGGTTGCCCCTGGGCATGGGGCACGTCTTTGGTGGACGCTTTGGCATCCTCGTGTTTGCGCTTGTTCTGATTGTTTGGGTTGGCCTTGGCTGCAGGCTGCACTTTCGGAGTATGTGTTGCCAAAGGTAGCAAATGGAAGCTGACGCTCGGTCTTGTGAGGGCCTTTGGCAACTCAACTTCTAACGGCAGGTCGCCGTTTGCATTGCGCTTGAGGCTTGTGACCACCTCGGCCAGGTACAGAAAGACTGCACGGTCTGCGCGCAAGACTTGAACCACGGTCGTGTTGGAGTAGCCAGGAGGAGCGTCTTCCTGGAGGTGGCTTAGGAGCTCCGCATGGTAGGAGTTCATGGTTTCATAGGAGACCAATCCGACCAAGTCGAAAGCCAGGGCTCTGCGACGTAGGGCTTGGACCAACTCCAACTCCGTGCGTGTGGAGCACGTGTGGTCTACCGGCCTTTCCTTTACAGTGAGGGAGTCATTGTCCAGGGCGAGTTGCTTGAGCGGTTTCTTCTGTGAGAGCTCATATCGCCGCGTGACAAACTTTTCAGGGTGCAGATACGTGAGCGTATCTTTTTCCAGCAAGGTGAAGACCAGGTCGTATGCTGAAAAAGCTACTTCCTCGTCACCTTTGAATCTCAGACCAGTCAACCGTTTTTGTTGGTCTTGGACCCTGCGGTCCCTTTCCGCTGTTGGAAGAACACAATGGGCACTGATGTCGTCTTTGCGCCCCACTTCGGACTTGATGTTGGCTACTACCAGTGTATGTGATTCAAAAATCAACAGCTTGGTTGAGGTGATGGTCCCCATGTTGATCCCAGCACGATCCTGATAAAACTCCCTGATTTGCTGCTCAGTTGGTGCGGTGCCCGGAGGTGCAATTGCAAATGCCATCTGAGCTATTGATGTGACATTGTTGTCCAGAATTGCCTGGACTTCTTCTGAACTCAGGCCCGCTTTTGCTGCTCGGTCTCTCAGAGCAGCAGTTGAGTGAATCAACGAAGACGCTCCCTTAGGCATTCCTGCCATGGCTGCCACCTATCCTAAACTTAAATGTGTGAGTTGGAAAAACTTGGTCATGACTATTAACATGCATTAGAAGGAATGCTGTTAGAATAGTTAAACGTGTCCCGCACCTAGTTCACTTCGTGAGGCCAAAAGGGTCTGTCGGATCGTGCAACAAGTATTCAGGCTGAGACCCAAACAGGTTCACGGATCATGATGGCAACTGCTGATCTAAGCTCTTTTTGCATGGTGAGACGTCAAGGTGCGGCGATGACACGAGTGCACCGTTTGCACTTCCGGCTTTCCAAAAATTGGGTCGATGCAACTTCTACATGGTCTTTGGTGGCATGCAGCACACACATGAAAACTTTGGCTCCGCCTTCTTGCTCCAAATGAACAATTTTGCTCAGTGTGTGCTGATACATTGTTCCAAATCCCCAAGCTGCATGCTTGACATGAGGGTCATCGCCCCCAACTGCTTGCAGTTGTTGTTCAAGCTCCCCTTCTGAGTCCGATTCACTTGAGCTCGAAGAAGATGAACTTTCACTGTCAGATGAGGAACTCCCAGCAGCGGCTTGTGCATCTCCATCTGCGACGGCACAGTCAGGCCTTGTAGGTTCCTGGATGTGTCCTGACCGTGTTAAGTCGGGGTGTAAGGCACCGACTCGTATGCGACGTAAAACGTCCTCCAATGCTCTGAGGGGTGCTGCCAGCATATCCCTGGAGTATGTCTCTAACGACCCTTTCTGGGTGCTGTGGTGTCCGAGCACTAGTCTGTGGTGCGGCTCGGTTCCGGCTTTGGCCAGCCAGGAGAGCACAGTACATTTGAGACTGTGTGATGACACTTCGTCCAGGCTGGAGTTGTTTTGTTTGAGAAGCTCACCGAGCCACTTCGTGGCTTCGGAGGCAGAAACGCTTCTCTTGCTCCAATTCCCAGCTTTGTCAGGCGCCGGCAGAACGGGGCCCCTGAAAGCATCTTCAAAGGCGAGGCCGACTTCTTTCGCAACCTTGTTCCATTCAAGGGCCCAGCACGGGTGAGTTAAACCCCATATCGGAGCTACCAATGGCAAAGGTAACCCATGTCGCGCTACTTGAGCAGCAGTCTTGTGCGAGAAGGTCGAAAATTCCATGTATCCGATGGTTTTCCCGTCCACGCAGTTCACATCTAAGATGAAGTGGCTGACATGTCTCAGGTCTGACCATCGACACCTTCCGAACAGAGCAAAAAGGAAAGCGCCCGCAGCAAATCTGTCAAAGTGGTCGGCCGCGGGGTCTTTGACGATGGATTCGAGGAAGATGACCTCCGATACTGTGAGGGGACGAGCTTGCTTTCTTTTCGGCCTCGAGAGGGCTTGCTTGTCGAGGACGCCTTTCACGAATGCTGACACAACTGGCACATCTGGATTTGCAACTGGCAGGCCTAGGATGTAGGTCCCGAAGTTCACAGCTTCTATGAAGGACATGAGGCTGCTGTATGACACTCCGTCTTGGTGTCTTTCCCACACGTAGTCTGCTACTGCGTCCTGTTCAAAAGGGACAGGGTGCTTCTTGTAGTAGTACCCTTTGTGCCAGGTGCAGAACTGAAGCAGGCTATGGGCTCGCTTCGAGATGGTGTTTGGACTACGTGATCCACAAAGGAGGCGGATCTGATGCAGGTTTCTTTCCATCTCGCCCTCAATGAAATTCATGCCATCAGGTTTGCTTTTGGGTCCAGAGACCATGACTGCATACAACTTTTCCAATGCTCTGTTCCACTTTGCCTGATCCAGCTCCAGATTGGAGAAGGTGTTCTTGAAGGAGATTGCCCTCTCGTACAAGCGGCTTGTGGGAGCATCAGTCTTGGCTTTCTTGACGCGTGAACCCATCTGTCCTTGTGGACTGTCTGGAGGCATCTCGGAGTGATCCAGGGTGTGTGCCACCTTGGGCAGCTGTGGAACTGCCACCAAAGGCGCGTCTCCGAAGATGGTGGCCATTACTCCAGACTCCCATGGAAGTGAGAGTCCATCAGTGAGGCTCGCGCTCAACATGGCCTGGTGAACCATTGAATCAAGTGTCGCCCGTTCCACGTCGGTGAGGGTGTCTCCATTGTGTCCCATGTCTGTCTGGCCCTCGGCATCCGGGAAGTCAATGTCGTGCATCTCTTCGAGATGGTCGAAGTCACCAGGCTGTTGCGTTGTGTCCCACAAACTGTCATCCAACTGTTCAGATTCGCACGAAAGCCCGGTCTCGGGCTCCCTGGTAGGGGAAACATCCCCTTGTGCAGGCTCAATTGATCCTACATGGCTGTCTATGTCCTGTGGGAGCGGCAGTCCTGTCCCTTCGTCGGGCAAGGTGCTTTCTGAGTCCATGCTGAGCCTAAATGGAAAACAAGGGACCGTTACAAGATCGGCAAATGAAAACATGGAGCTCATTGCAGCTTGGACAAAGTGAGATCTGACTTTAAGAAATGATTCCTTTTTTGGTGTCGGCGTCGATACCGGGTCACGCCTGGCAAAAACTGGAAGGCTTGGCAAAACACTTTTATATCTATACTATGTCGGCAGACGTATCAGTTGCTGCTGCTGTGAACTCGATCACTCAAGGATGTCCAAAACTGAATCGGCTAACAGCTTGACTTCCAGCAGGAATTTAAATGCTTGCTCTTCGTCAGGTTTCGTGCAGCTGATAATCAGGTGGTCCAGGAGGGCAATCAAAGAATCAAGATGGTCTTTGAAAACTGGCGAATACTCCTCTTTCAAAGTTTTCAGACTGGCTTGCATATACAATGGTGATCTTTTTCGCTGCACCTGACTGCGGAAGACATGTGGGTGATCTTCGCGGGTGCTTCTGTACCAAAGCTTTGTTGTCTCCAATTCATGATAAAAGTCAACAAAAATATCGATGAAAAGAGGAGTTCCGATCAGTCGAAACACTTCATGTAAACATGCTTCGGCCTTGGAGACAACGCGGGGCCAATCGCCCCCTTCCAACATGAGGGAGGCCAACATGACTGCAACGGTCCCTACATGAGGTCCAATTGGGAGGCTCCTGCGCTCCTTGACTCGCTCTACCCTGGTGCTAGATGCACCAGCTTGGCCGTTCATTTGAATCCCAACGCCTGATCGGGTGGGATGTGCGATCAGTTCCAAACAAAGTGACAGATTCTAGTGTGTTTGAAAACAAGCGTGGAAAGAATGCACGGATTAAAACATCATGGCTGCAGGAGTCAGCTAGTGACGCTGACGCCTCTGTCTCGTGCAGATTCTGCAAGGCTCCTACTCGAGCGATTTTTAAGTTACAATGAAGGTATCCGGCTGTTAATTTTGGTTGCCAAGATAGTCAAGAGATGATACCCAAGGAAAATCTCACAAAGACAGTGATCACTTGATCACCGGCCTCAAGGTCTCAAGCAGGTGTCGAGGATCTGCGTCCTCTACGTAAAGGTCAGGCCTCAAGACGAGAGGCTGGGCACTCGCCCAATTCGCCACCCACTGTCGGTCTAAAGACATGATACTACGGCACTTGCCAAGGTGTCATGCCACGGCCCATCAGTACTGAGGTGGAGACCGATTGAAAGAGTCCAAGCACCTTAAGTTACTGTCGATGGATCCAAATTAAGGAAAGGTGTCAACCATTGGAAAATTTGTGCTGAGGGGGACACTCGTCCCAAAAGCCTCAGCCGTTCAGGAATTCTTCATTGAAGAAACACGACTTGACCGGTCTCACTCGAGACGGTTCTGGGCCCTCTGCCTCGAGGCAGAAGGTGGAGCGTCACCTGACGCTCTCCGAACTGATGGTGCAAAAGGGGTACATCGTATGACCTGAAATGGGTGCTCAATTATATGCCTGGCCTTGGGTCCGGCAACACTCAGCTCTACTTGAGCCGCTGTAAATGTCGGCAGGTTTTCTTTACGGGTTAAACAAGTTCAGCATGGCAAATGGTGGCTGAGGTTCAAAACAACTGCAAGTTAAATCTGAAAGCATGATCTACGTGGTTGTGCCAATAAACTTCCTACAAAAGCCATGCGCAAAACCCCCAAACAAAATGGCTTTTGAACGAGCATGAGGGTTAGTCGACTTCTTCCGGAGGCTGCGACTGCTGCGACTCATCAGGAGATGATGGAAACCAAACGAAGGTTGGCGGCTTCTGTTTTGGCGTAAGGACCAAAGGAGCCCCTGTGGAAACCGCTTGTTCGAGTCGAGCTAACCGATCTTCGAGTCTGTTAATGACCACCGATTGTGCGGTGATCAAATTGTCATATTGCTGCAACGCCCGGAAGACCGAGACAAAATGAATATGAACCCTTGTGGGCAAAGTGCCCTGTGCACGTTGTTCATGGGGCGTGAGGATGGGTGCATGTTCAAGCTGCCCAAAATACAGGATGCATCTCTGGTACTCAGTGTAGCTGGAAACTTGGACAAAAAGTCTGCGCGGCCACTCCAGGCCGATGATCATTGTACGCCAGTCAATCGGCGTCGAGTCGTTCAGAACTCGAACGAGCCCTGGAGTGTCAACGTCAAGGTGAAAGTATTGGATCACCATCTGTTTGACTGTCATGTTTTGCAGTAAGTTGAGGACCACGCCACTCCAAGGTGTAGGTGGGGCTCCATGGAGATCGTCAGAATCAGATGATTCGTCAGGTTGAAGAGGCGGATCTCCCACACGATTGTCCAGCATGTCGGTGGCAATGCAAAACTCCAAAAAGGCAATAAGAGTTGCCAAACCAGCGAAGAAGGCAGCAAACAGATGAAAGGATGTCCAAGAAGAACTTGAGCGAAGGTCACGAAAGACAATTTCCCCACGCCGCTGCATACATGGCAAACACGAAAAATTTAGTGAAGTGACAAGCGGGCTCACTCGAGCCACTTATTGCAACAGATTACACATGTAACATCGTGTGCTCTGACTGTCACCATCATGTTCTTTTGACCCATCCTTCATGGGTCAAATCAAACATCTCTACCAAAATAAAATTTCATCAACGAGTTGAGCTGCATCATATATAATGTATATATATATATAATGTATATATATATAATATATATATATATACATTATATATTATATGTGTGAACCAGAGGCTACCTCCAGTTCAGATCATTTCACCTCCAGCAAGACGGCCGCCAGGGAGGTGTCACTGAGATGCGCCAGCGTCTGGACGCCTTTCTTCACCGTGCTGGCCATTTCATCCAGACCTTTGGCGTCCTGTGCAGGTTGTTCTGACGCCAATGGCGTGATCGGTGAAAAAAATGTTGGTAAAACAATGCCATTTTTACCATCCCCCAGTCATCACCATTTTTATAGGTGGTATAACCCATTCCCAAATGAAGGCTGTATGATTGTTTTACCCCCATGGAGATTTAACGAACAAACATGAGGATATGATTGGGAATTGACTGACTTTTTTTCCGGCTTTGATTTTGTGATGTCATGGCGACCCAACATCAATGGGATTTCTTTGGGGAGTTCATGCGTGTGCATGGTGATTTATGGGGATAACTGGGATAACGGAAATGTGAGTTACCATCTGGTTATTTAACATAGCCATGGAAAATCCCTTATAAATGGAGGTTTTAATGGGAAAATCATCTATAAATGGGCTATTTTCCATGGCTATGTTAAATAACCAGAGGGTATATGATATTGTATTACTACCATGGAATATATCACTGAACCCAATGGCTTCACCAGGCCAAATTGGGGAAGCCATTGGGGATGAAACCACTCATAACTTCATAACCAATAAACGGGGATGGAACCGCTACTGATTAGCTACTTTGTGATACCGGTAGTAAGCTTCATTGATCTGATGTTTTGTGATGTTTTGTGAAGAAAAGAACCACACCAGGGTCTTTGTGGTGCCCATCAGCGTCAGCATCCCCATGAATTCGGGTTTGACTCAAGAAAGACTGGTCAATGTCCTCCTAAATTCATTGGCCATAGACTGAATGAAATGATACCCTTTGGTAAACTAACATGGCTATTGAAAATTGCCATTTATAGTGGATTTACCCATTAAAAATAGTGATTTTCCATAGCTATGTTAGTTTACCAGAGGGTATCTCAATTTTTAGTTCTATGGTCCATTTCATCCTCCCATAGCCTCTTGTATCTGAACTGTAAACCGACAAGTCAATCTGTATCCTTGTTTTACGTAGAGATCTATCCAACTGATCTCGCACCTGGGTCACTTAACCCACCCAGCGGTCAACAGCTACCCCCAGAACTTCATCAAATCACATGGTCACTGTTTTCGGGCTAGTGGAATCCCGCCAAGACAAATATCATCCCAACATCTTCCAAAATTCCTCAATCATGGGTTATCAATGGTTATTACAGTCTGGCTTAGTAACCCAGTAGCAAGTCAATAGTCTTGGGCAGGTTCCTGACCTCCCGTCACCAGCCCAACAAACATCAGCCATGATCTTCAAAATCTTTGCCATTGAATCGCAATCATTTTGGCCATTTGGCCCCCATGGCCCCCATGATTTTGATGATACTGCCCCCATGGAGCCATCAATATGTTCATGGCTCATCATGGCTCAATCAATTCCCATCTCTCGACACACTTCAATGGTTCCATCCCCCGTACCCTCTGATCATCAAACATCACGTCATATCGCGTCCGGGAAAATGGCTGATTTATGGATGATTCGCCCATCACCTCAATTTGTCATAGGGATTTCCCATTTTTACCTTTGATTACAATGAATATGACCCTCTGGTTTGCACTAACACTTCGGGAACTGGAAAATCACTATCTTTAGCTAAATCAACCTATTTCAATGGGCCATCTATACAATAGCAAACTGTTAAATTACCAGAGGCTATGGGATATGTATAACAAAAAAAATGGGATTTTTGATACTATGGGAATATACTATGATAATCTACCTGTTACCCTCTGGTAATTTAACGTAGCTATTGAAAATGACCATAGAAATAGTGGATTTTCTGGATTTTCCCATTAATAGCATGGTGATTTTCAATAGCTATGTTAGTCATTACCAGAGGGTATCTTTAACCATCACCCCATCCCCATCCCCACCGCCTTCAACTTAGCCCCACGGAGCTCGGAGATCTCCTTGCGACAGCGATCGATCAGCGCCGAGGCCTCGAAGGGTTTCCGCTGCGCCTCGTTGAGCTTGGCCCAGGCGGACGAGAGCGCCTCCAGGGCGAAAGGAAGGGAAAATCGAACCATGGAAACCATGGAAAATGGAGCTTTCAATATGGGAAAATAAGGGAAAAAATTGGGAAAATGATTGAATCAAAAATGGGAATGTAGAATCATCTACAAATTCTTGGACATGTTAACCCAGGATTTTGCTAATAATGGCCACCATTAGCCACTAAAACAAGGGGATTAAAGCCAGAAAATAATGGGTTCACCACCATCAAACTAGCGATGGCTATTATCGCTATTATTTTGTTGCCATCATTGACGAATACAATACACGGTTGCTCAAAACCCTAGATACAGGGGGGGAGACAAAATTAAGATGTTTGCAGAACTCTTTGAAGACTTCAAAGAGCAGAAATTGAGCACAGGAACAAGCGGATAAAACATACCATACCCCTTAGCATCTTCAAACAACTTCAGCCTTCAGCCCTGGAAACCCTGGGGGCCTTGCATGTTCTCCCACCATTTCTCTCCTGTTCCCACCTTGGAAGCAGCACCAAAGTTCTCAGGTGCGTCCTTCAGGCCAACCTCCGCCAGGACATCCTTCCGCTTCTCCTAGGGGGTGAAACCCAGGATGGGAGGCCTGCGAAAGATGACCCAACAAGAAAGTCTATATATATATAAAGTAAATATATGTGTAAATAATAATAATAATAAAATGGTTCCTGATTCCTAGCCGCAATCAATATCATCAATGCTCTTTTTTTTAGTTCCTTCTAAAATCCACGGGCAGAAAATCCCTGAGGGAAGAAATCCGGCCGGCACTGCCTCACCTTGGAGAAACACATGAAGGCATGCTTGGCACGGCCGCCCTTGCCACGCACTCTCTTTTGTGCCTCAGCACACCCGTCTAAGTGGATTGTTTCCATGTCGAACATACCAAGGGATAACGGTCTGTAGCAGCCCCGTGGCTTGGGATTCTAGGAGAGTCAGTTGACTCAGCAGTTACCTGGGACCAGGATGGATGAGGTAGATCTTTCACTATTGGGCCAGGGCACAAAGCTTCTAGACGCTACTCCAGTAACGAATAAGTAATAAACAATAATCCATAGAGGTACAAGTTCAAATCCCGACTCCGTGTTGAGATCTTCATATTGTCAAAAACAACACAGAGGACCCTCAAGCAGTTGATCAACATCCAACTTCCCCATCCGTCGAAATGCCCCACTCGTCTTCTTGGTGGACTTCTTGGTCTTTGCGCTGGATTTCTTCGCCATGGCAGGCTAGCGACAATTCAGTGAGATGAGCGTGTTCAAACGATGTAACTTGCAAGTCCACCTTAGCATATCTTGAGGAATGACGGAATCTTGCACCTTTGGAGAATTGCCGCAATATTTTGTGAGACCACATGATTTTTCTCAATGATGTCTTGAAGGCACGGTGGTTACTTTCTTATTGCGTGTGTTCCACACGCAAACGCCCCGCACCACTGTTTACCCTTCACCATGACCACGAGTTGTTGCAGGGTTCAAACCTTGCCCAAGCTGGCCCTCTTTGCACCAATGACCCTTGACAAACATGGCCACAGTCCCATGCCACAATCCGCAGGCGTCACACCTTGCCCCCCAAAGTTCAGGATAGTGCTAAGATGTGCTAAGGGCTGTAGACATTGCGAATTTCCAGTTGATTGGATCAATGGAATGGATCTTTCCAACCACCCGGCTGTAGACGGGCGGTAAGACTTCCTCTGCGGCGCCTGTCGTCTGGCACGTCCTTCCACATGGAACATCGGCGCTAGTGGTGGGGCTGACAAGGCCAGCGGCACAAAACCATGGCTGCGGTGTGCAACAAAAGTTTTCGCGAAAAATCTTCAGGATCATGCCCTCAGACTTATGTAAGAACAACTTGAGAACAACTTCTGCTTTTGCCTGCTGTGGGACCTACCCGTTCAACATCTTGAATTTCAGGTGAAGTGCATGGGAACTTTGTGCAGCAAGAATTTGTGGATCCTGTCGTTTCCTCACCTTCACTTCGTCATCTTGGTCAAGCGGGGAGCAGTCTCCTGGTTTCCCAAGATTTTCCAACCCCCTAAGAGCTGCTGGATAGGAATCTCTGGATGAAGCTCAATAAGGGCCTGGCTGCAAGCCAACAGAGGGAAGCGTCTTTAGTTGTAGACATCCCATTTTCTGCGGATAGAATCTCTGTTTTCAAGTTGGTTCAAGGGAAATTTCACGGCAAACTCTTTTTTCCCCTTCGCTGATAGGGCCTGTCCTGCAATGTTTCCCTTAAAGCCTTAAACCAATTCTTGGATTGAGAAAAATCTCTCCAGAAACCAACTCACAAACCTTCAAAACAAAAGCGGAAAGAATCCGTTCAAAACAAAATCTTCGAAACAAGAAAACTCACAACTGCAGCATCAGTTCCCCGAACTTTGCTGGAGTCAAGGCGTCAAACCCTCAATACACTGCTTCTGTGGTGCCATTTTGAAGCAAGCAGATCTCTCAGCGTCTGCGCAGAAGTCATTTCTGCCTTTCCATCATCCAGGTGGCATCTCTTGGGTATGGCAATGGGCTGCAGACCCACAATTTGGCTGGTCATCTTTGGAACTCTTGAACCATATGCGGGATCAACATGGGTCAGTCACCTGAGCCATACCCACCTAAGGTGAAACGTGAAACAGACTGGCTTGGAGGAATGAGCATTGCCTTAAAGTGCCAGGACGCAGGAACTTCCAGAAACTTCCAGCATCCGTTGGGTGAAACTCTCGGATGTTTGGTCACTTTTTTTCACCAGGCCACTGCGCTGCCGATCGATCCTAGAGGAATCAACCCAGATCAACCTGTTGCATGACAGTAATTAGTCGGCCATCACGCTGTGGCTATTTGGACGATACCGATTCTTATCAACTGGGCATGTTGGCATACCATGGCATACCTAGCTGAGATTTGCTGAACTTTCTGCGAGCATGAAATGCGGCAAGCCGAAGTGCGAGAATGTCACAACATGCGACAAGCCAAGCAGGAACAGAAACGCCGTCTACCGGACAGGCCAGACAGGGCTCATTTGGAAAGGCGCTCCGATTTTCCGCCAGCATGAACATTGGAAACGTCAGCTTACATCAGCTTCCATTCAACATGCTAAGCACAACATAAGAGCTTCATTCTTGGAATGGAAGCTCGGGAGTGTGTTGACTTTTTTAAGGGGGAACCTAATTGACTTGTGCATTGGTTAAAAGTTCTCGTTCAGCACGCTGAAAGCCTTCCAAGCTGCTATTGAGACTTGCAATCTGCTGTTTCAATGATTTGATCATGTTCCGCACATGCAGAAGCTCTGCTTTTTGAGCTGGGTTCAGGTGTTTTTCAGTCATCACATCCCACTGTTTCTCTGCCAGTTCTGCAAAACCCTTGGGTGAGGCATCTATGGCCACCCATCGCTCATCATCAAAGGCTGCGCTGCGAGTTCGCTGCACATGCTCGTCAATCTGCTTGGACAGCATTGCTTGCAAGTTCTCAGACTTAGAGGATGCCCTTTTGGCCACTTCTGGCTCTGGAATCAACGGCAACTGCGGGGGTTGAGGTTGAGAAGGTTGAGCCGGTTGAGCCACAGGAACATGATCATAAGCCGCGGGAGCAACCACCAGCTGTCGTCCATCTACAGACAGGAGCTTCTGATGAAGATCAGGAGCTTCACTTCTGTCGCCATCTGACTTCCGAACAGCCAATGTTCGACGCACCACCGGGTGCATATTTTCGAGCATCCGAGCCCCACGGTACTTCTCTTCTAGCTGCTTGGCAAACTGTTCATAGCGGTAGCAAGGGTCGACTCGGAGCTGCCATTGAGGTTTTTCAGCGTCCTGCATGGTAATCCGGGTTCAAACAAGATGGGAAAATCACACAAAGGATGTCTTGGGGCTGCAAAATCATGAAAAATATTGGATCTATAGATGGTGGATTCTCCATCCCTAAGGGTACCAACCCCGTTCCTTCATCTGCTTGTTCAACTGCATCATGACCACACCCTGATCAGCATGTTCACCTTGCAAGCCTTCTCGGGTCATTCTGCCGTCATGACTGCAGTCGTAGAGTTTGGGGATCACAGACTGCAACTTTTGGATGTGATCATTCCAGGAAGTGGTCTCCAATGGGTCCACCCCACCCGAAAAGCTCATGTTGTACAGGTTGTCAATCAAGTAACACGCATCCATCACCCCATTCCAGCCGCGTTGCAAGCCCACCCCAGCAATCCAAAAGGGTTCGGTGACAGCATCGCCCACCAGACCTATCGGAGGCACCAGGCTCAAGCCTGTCCAGGGGCCGTGCTCCTGAACGTCATAGGTCAAAGGCGGTAGGTTGAAGGCGAAATTCTTTTTGCACTTCCAAATCTCCGAGAAATCGAAGGCCATGACATCGTTGGGCTCCTCCACGAAGCCACCATTGCTCAGCGACTCATCCACTGGAATACCCACCTGGGAAAGCCCTGATGCTACGAGATTGGACTACCATATAAGACCTGTGACTGGCAGGAATACTCAAATCCGGACTTTAACCCACCATTAGTTCTTTGAATCTTCAACATCCTTGGTTTTCATACCCTTCACACTTCACATCCCAAATGTTAGAAGTTAGGTCTGCAACTCACCCGGGGAACAGCCTGTTTTGACCCATTGGACCCTCACCTCCTTGCACCTTTCTAGCACCCAGTGCTTCAACTTTGCCTTCTCTTCGACTTTGTTGGGGTTCACCTTGTCACGTCCCGCATGGAACGAATAGATGCTGCCTCCAAAGCCCGCTTGTTGCAAGTCTTCCTTACTCGGGGTGAAGATCACATAGTTATGGTATGACGCTTTGTAATAGTTCAAGCCTGTCATGCTGCCAGCACCACTCGCCAAATGAGCCCTTTTCATGTCTGTGGGCTCCTGACCACTAGGGAAACCCAGCTCTTTCAAGCGTTGCCGGGACACTTTTTGGATGTTGGCGACAACTCCAATCATTTTTTTGAAGTTCCTCTTGTCAACCTCACCGAAAATGCCTTTCTGAGACTCGCGCACTCGGCTGCGGGCACCATCACAGCCCATGAGCACATCAAAGTTGCTCTCGTGGGTCCCCGGAGACAGACCATAGTGCTCAGCAGCCAGATCATCACAGCTAAACTTCACTCGCCACTGTGGTTTCTGGTTCTTGGGGTCCAGCACGATATTGGCATCTTCATAGCTCATCCCAAGTTGGAAGTCCACCCCAAGCAGCAAGGCATTCTTCAAGAGGAGCAATTGCAGTTCATCAATGCCTATGGAAGACGTATCACCCTGTGTGAAAACGGGATAGCACATCTTGGATGACATGAAATCACGTCCATTAAGGCGGTCCAAGTCATTCCTCAAGAAGTTGAAGACATGTGGCCGATTGATCCTGTTGGTGAAACCCAGTTGCTGCAACTCACCTGAACGGGGCCCAGTTCAAAAAGTCGTCCCCAAGTCTAGTTGTTTGATGGGTTCTCCTTGCAGTTCACCATCCCCATACAATCAATTGAACTAATCTCTAATCCAAACTTCCGCATTCTCAATAGCTAATCCTAATTCTATGCGTTTTAAGGCAAAAGTGAAGGAAAACCGCAGGATCACCCTGACACTCAATGTTCATTGACAAATAGAGGCATAGACCAACAACCTAAAGACGGCTTTCTATCTGGCATTCTACCTGGCAATTTTTCTGACATTCTATCTGGCATTCTATCCGGCATCCATTCTCACATTCTACCTGGCATGTGTTCGGCGGCCATCCGAGCATGAGAACGGCGTTCTTCAGAAGAACGGTTTTACTCAAAAGAACGAAGGTGTTCAAAACATTGATGTTCCTCAGAAGAACGACGTTGTTCAGAAGAACGATATTGCTCAGAAGAACAATGTTGGTCAGAAAAACGATATTGCTCAGAAGAGCAATCTTGATCAAAAGAACGATGCCACGCTCTGCCGACCCCCCTAGCTGAACTCCATGGAAACCACACTGCACAACTCATTCCAACAACCCTTTGTCAATTTCATTTGTGACGCAAAACAAACCAGAAGAACGATTCCAGCCAGAAGAAGGATGCTTGGGGCCGTATGGATTTTCTCAGGTGAAATGCTTCAAAACCAAGAATCCCACATTCTCCTAAATTTCCCTACTTCTGTCCCGTGTGAAAATTTCCATTCGGTTGCAAATTATTGCGGAAACCGTTTCTTTCACAGTAAAACGGTTCATAGCAGGAGAACCTTTTTCTTAGCAGGAAAAGGTTTCTTGGCAGGAAAACGATTCAGGGCAGGAAAACGATTCAGGGCAGGAGAGTGATTTAGGGCAGGAGAGCGATTCAGGGCAGGAGAACTGTTCAGGGCAGGAGAAGGGCGCAGGGCAGCAGAAGAACAGTTCTTGGCGGGAGAAATTTCAGAACACTTGGGTGGCCGTTTGGGGGTGGGGGAGTTGTAAGTATTTATGGTAGCATTTGGCCGATGGCGAAGGTGTCCACTGCGCTCATGGGCAAAGCTGAGAAGTTCTTGTGCCAGCTCAGTGCTGGGGAGTTGGTTTTTGCAACCTGCATTGTTGCTTCATTTCGTGCGAAATGGCTGTCACATGCAGCCACATTTCTTTGTCAGTGAATTCCTGCAGAAACAAGTCAGAAGAACGATCATGGTCAGAAGTACGAATGTTGCAGTAGAATGCGTACGCCCACTTTAGATAATCAATTGAGCTAGGCATAAAGACCCACTTCCAACCATCAACCAAAGAGAAACCAACCATCAACTAAAGATCGACCAACCATACCAGCCATGATTTTGAAAAATATCCCGGAGATCCCCACTGTCCCAATTTCAATCCTCATGCTTCGCCAAAAAAACAAATGGTGGTTTCTCCATGTTTCTCCCAACATTTTCCTCCAAGGTAACTGTTATTTTATTGGTATCTAACTTTTCATGGGGAAACCATGGAAACCAACGGTTTGGGACCTGAACTGCTCGCCTTGGGCATTGCGATGTTCGCGTCGTTTCTCAAAGACGGTGACCTGGTGCCCACCGAGCTTCAGCTCGATGGCCAAGCGGAGTCCTACTGGGCCACCTGCAGGGGATGATCTGATGGACCCCTGATTCAAGGTGGAAAATATCCCAATAAATACTGTTGCTAGTGAGGGCAAGTATGCAGAAATTGTCAACATGAAACAAATGAATTGGGTGATGGAAATTTCACATACTTCAAATCCTCAAAATGAAACGTCTGTTTGGCCGATTGCAACAAAATTCGTTGAAAAAATGATGACATGAATCTCCCTGACCTCCCACCACCAAAACTTTCTGCGATGTAATGTTGGGATTGGAATTGGGAAGATCGAAATTCACGGCATCACCCGGGCGAAACGCTGTCCCCCTCCGTTCCAACTCGTCAAAGCGTCGCCAGATGCGAGGCCATTTCCAGTGCCCGCCATCCCCAACGATGGCCTGAAGTTTTTCGTAAGGGAAAACTGGATTGGATAGATCATCTGAAGGACCCTGAGCAGTTTTGACCACGGTGCTTTTCACTTCTTCGTCATAAATTTGACGCCACAATTCTACGAGATCCTCACCCTTGGTGCTGGGTGGTTCAGCCTGGAAAAAATCTTTCAAAAGCACAGTTTTGGTCCGAGCCAACTCCTCCAAATCTTTCAATGGAAGGGTCATGCTGAGCAAAATTAAAATCTGTACACTTCAATGGAATCGACTAACTGCAAGCTCTGACCCAACACTCTGCACGCAGCAAAACCATGGACCAACGAGCGACAAGCATCCAAATCAATAATGGGCAAACTGTTCAAGTGTTGAAAACGAGTATGTTTCCTCCGGCCGTTCTTTTTGCGACGCAATCCCAGTTTGCTTTGGGCATCATTTTTTTCAAAGGCCCCTCCAAATGCCGGCAGGCATGAAACGATCAGCATGCGCTGAAGTTTGTTTCCGTGGCCAACGATTGGCAGAACGAATGGCACAAAAAGTCCTTCAGATAGATTGCAGGTGTCGACAACTATTTGGTTTGAAACCAAATCCGTTTTTTCGTTGTTTTTTTGGGTGTTTTGAAGACAGTCTAGTGGTTACTGCAACCCACGTTCAATCAAATGCCACGCAAAACCCTGGAAATCAGTTGGCATTGGTAGGGGGGAAGTTTAAATAAAGAGTTAGATTTGAAATCATGGCATTGTGGAAGGCAAAGGGGGGGAAGTTTAAATAAAGAGTTCGATTTTAGATCATGGCACTGTGGAAGGCAACGGGGGGGAAGTTTAAATAAAGACTTCGAATTTAGATCCTGGCATTGTGGAAGGCAGGGAGGAGGGCGCAAGTGAGTAGGCTGGGGGGCGCAAGTGAGTATTGGAGGCGCAAGTGAGTAGTTTGAGGCGCAAGTGATCAGGCGGCGCAAGACTCGAAAAAGAGAGGAACTAACGTGACAAAGAAGTACTGTTTCCGCAAATGTCTGTTTTCCTCTGACTGCTTGTGACGAGGTCTTGTGTTTACCTAGGTCGAGCTCTAGAGCCAGAACAGTTACATGGACAACAATGAACTTGAGGTATGATAGATCATGTACCTTTCAAGTCGGGTGTTCTCCTGTAAGTTGGTGAGATGCTGTAACTGGCTCGAGCTCAAACTTCGGTATCTGTGTTTGCCAGAGGACGTGTCCCTCTGGTTTTCATGAATTCAGCGGGGTGTAGTCTTCGTACGTACCCCTTCATAGCATTAATTAATTGCGACCGATCGATGGAACCTTTGGTCATTCCATCGGCTATCATGTCGCGTGTGTCGACCCATCCTAAGAGAGTGATGATCTTTGAAATGGTCAACTGTTTGATCCATGAGATATGAGAGAGTAGTGACTTTTCCGTTGGGTACTTGAAGTTTTCATTTTCCACCGCACTAAAAACGGACCTGGCGTCTATCCAGACATAAAGTTCGATGAGGTAACCACCAGTTTCTCTTAGATTTATACTGGATTGGGGACTAAGGGGTCCGAAACACATTTCATGAAGGGTAGTTATAATTATAAAACTTTGATCAACGGATGCTGTGAGTGCCAACAGTTCAGCGGCGAATGTGCTGCGCACCACGAGCTTATGAGATTGAGAAACGGCCTCAATCAAATGGCATCTCCTTACACCTCTCACATCAGTACCCATTCGAAGATATACTGCACCCCTCAAAGCGTATCCCTTATCATTTTCTCTGGAGAATGCTGAATCAGAGTATAGCTCAACAACCCTGTTGCAAGTCATTGAGCTATACTCTAATTTCTGGGGACGACGTTGAAGCTCTCGGGTGAGTGCATTCAGTCTCTTGACATGTGTAACAGTGGGGTTCTGAGTTACACGTTGGAGAGAAATTATATAGACTAAGACCCACGCCTGTGTTAGGGCGGAATAGGCAACGGCTCCTAACAAGCTCCAATACAGCGCTCTGAGGTGCTTGGGGCATTGTGCGTCCTTCTGGAGATTGGCATAGTGTTTTGGGTTTATAGGTTTTAATGCACTAAGATATTCTGTCTGATCAAGAGTGATGGTTCCATCTGGGAGTCTTTTATGACAAATACCACAGTTTGTAAATTCACTTTCTTGATACGTCAATTTCCCAAAGTGCCCTTCCAGAGTTTTAACCAAGGAGTCTATTTCTGATTTCACACCTGCCATTTTAATGTCATCTACATGGACGGTTATGGCTAAGACTAGGGTTCCTTTCTTATGTAACATTAACAATTGGGGAAGCATTCTAACTGCTGAAATGCTGGGAAGCATTCTAACTGCTGAAATGCTGGCAAAAGCCATTTCAAGGGGGAAGCGTTCTAATTGCTGAAATGCTGGTAGAAACAAATTTCAAGGGGGAAGCGTTCTAATTGCTGAAATGCTGGTAGAAAGCATTTTCAAGGGGGAAACATTCTAACTGCTGAAATGTTTGTGTAAAAGCAATTTCAACGGGGAAGCATTCTAACTGCTGAAAAGCTGGTTGAAAAAATATCAAGGGGGAAGCATTCTAACTGATCTTGAGGATGCTGATTAGCCTCAAGTTGAATGCTCTGGGAGCGTCTCTACAGCCGGTGCCAGGCTTCAAGCATTTGAGAGCTTCCGTTCGCTCATCAAAATCTTCATATCCTGGGATCCGTCGGAGATGTTTGGCTGTTCCTGCCGGGACGGTAAAGCTTATGTGTTTCTCGGGCTCTCCAGTCAACTTGTTCATCTCGGAAAAGGTAAGCCCTTGGAGAAATGCTTTGCTTATGTCCACAGCGACAAAGCTCCAATTTTTGTGGCAGGCTGCTTCACTAGCTAGAATCTTTTGGGATGTTCTTTGCGCAGTGGCCGAGAAGTTCACTTCATCTTCGGTTTGCGGTTCCTTGAACCCTCGCAAGGCTAACCGCATCCTGATGATGCGCTTCCCGTCTACATACTTCCACTTAGAAACTAGCTTGGCGTCGATCAGAACTTTACACTTCTTTTTGGGGATTCGTTCAAAACAACCACATTTATGCCAGGTTTCATATTCTTTAACAGTTGCTTCATCAACTTCCTTGCGATGGTCAATTAATTCCTTAGTAGTGAGCAAGTCCGTATCTCTCTCGATGACTTCTTTCTTGGCTTCTGCATTAAGGAATACTTTCATTAGGTTGGGTTTAGACACATCGCGACTGTCTTGGAAGCATTCAGTGATGTTCTCTGAGATCAACACTTCAAGGAATGGTTCATTGTTTTCATCAAACTCAAAAGTGTGATCATACTCGTCGAAATCTGGACTAACTGTTGGTGGTATTGAATCCCAATCATTATGGTTGTCTGGACTTGAAAAATAACACCAATCATCTTTAATCTCCACATCTGATACTTCATCTACCGGTTCGTTAAGAACTACCCAGCACAGCTCCTTGAGATCACTTTGGATTTCTTTGGGAGCACCTTCGAAGTGTTGTATGTACAATGCTTCAACCTCGGGAGAGTCAATGCTAACTTGAGATTCCTCAGCGATCGTACTGAGCCGCCCATCACTACGACCCACCTCGATCTCTCGATTGAGATGCGCCATAGCCGAAGGACGGTCCAGCACTTTCTCCTCGAAATCATCAAGTGTCATTCCGACATCTCTGTCTAGCATAAAGCACTGCATGGTTGCCACGAAGGACTCCTGTGGACCAAAGATTTTATTGATGTTTTGTCTTGGATGATCGGCAACATGTATGAGCATTGCATCTGGGTTGTTCATGTTCCAATTGAAAATCACATTGCGGTATCTGTCATCCAGATCTTGCAGCTGCTTGATTTTATGTCCAATTCTTACAGTGCAAATATCATCCATTTGGAGGGAATTGGTTATGATGAACTCTAGTGCTTTTGAAATTTTGGGCCATCGCTTGGTGGTTCTTGTCAGTCTGTCATTTACATACCCAAAAACTTCAACACGGCCATCAGGGAGTTCATTCAAGAATTGATGGATGTATTCCATGGCATTCAAACAGATATCCGCACTGGTGTGTCCATAAAGAGAAACTGTTGCATAGTACTGTGCTGGGCGTACATCCTGGAGGCGATATGGTCTGGTCTGTCCATTTATTTTAAGAGCTACAATGCCATCTGCGGCTACACACTCTACGACTTCATATGGACCGGTCCAGCCACTCATGTCTTTGCTCGGGGGCGTTCGGTATAGCTCTACCAAGTCTCCTTTTGCAAAACGGTTTTCTCCCGACAAGGCAGTTTTGGACCCCAGAGCTCTTTTGATACGAGATGCACTCGTGGCTGAAACCATAGACTGCAATGCAAGTTCGCGGATGCGAGCATCAACTCTCTCTTCCAAGCCGGCGTTGTCAGTAATTGGCGGAAGGCAAGCTGGCTGTCTTCCCATCACTACCTGGTAGGGTGTAACTCCTCCTACATGTGTTAGTGCGTTACCCATAAAGACGCTGTTGGCAAGTAATGATGGGAAGTTGATGTCAATACCTTCTCTTATGGCTTGGGATTCCATCACATGCATCGCATGTCTTAGGATCGCTCCTCTCCTTTCGATGTACCGAGCGTGTTGGTCCTTACCTCTTACCTTTAAGACTACACCCATACGCTTCAATCTTGCTTCAGCACTGGATGAAGTCAAACCAGCTTCACTGTCGGTGACAAGCTGTTGAGGTGGGCCAAAGATGGATACCCATGCTGTGTGAAAATTGGTGATTAGTTGATCTTCTGTTTTGTTAGGAGTTTCCACAGCAACATGCCATCTGGTCGCTCTGCAAATAAAATGATGTACAACAAATTCTCGATAGAACAACAAATCGGTTTCTACTACTTCGTTGAAATTCATGGCCAAAGAGACAGAGGGTTGAGTATCTTTGGCTTTCGGTGCCCACTTGCGGCACTCACGGCAAGTTGAAATGACGTCAGGAATGTAGCTTATGACTTCTTCAGGTATGCCTGCATTTCTTAAAACGCTGGTCATGTTGGTGGGGCCTGCATGCCACCATCTTAAATGCAGCTTCCTGAGTGTTCGAATAATAGTTGGTTCATGGCTACTTCTCAAGTCTTTTAGACTATGAGTGACATCAAATCTAGACCAGTCAGATGGATGTTCACTACCTGCGGCCGCATCCCGGAACTTTCGATAAGGGCCTCGGAGTCTGCTCTCGGCAGGTTCGCCGTCATCTGGATTGTAGGGGACAATCCTATCTTCTACTGGAGGTGCTGCCCCTACGGCTGAACTACTAGCAGCTCCTTCACCGGCTCCCAAATC